TCATTTCTGCTGTTGACGACAGTTTAGACAGTACACGTTCCACACTGGTATAAAATTGTTTATACTTGTTTATTTCGGCAAGTACAATCTCTTTCAAGTTGTCATTTTGACCTTGAGATTTAACTTTTTGAGGTGAAGAGTTTTCTGTTTCAAATTCTTTCAAAGTTTTTTCAATTTTGATGTTTTCATGTTGGAACATTTCCAGATCTTCTTTAGTATTAATTTTCTCCAATTCCTGCAATAGAAGTGAGATTTTTGGTAGAATGATTCGTTGGATTGAGTTTTGCGTTTGTGTGATTCTGTAATCCGTAGCTTCTGAAATCTCGTCTTGTTTATATCGGTGATTGAAACTTGATCGTTTTGCCTTGTCCTTTTGACAACATTTTTCTTCTTTTTCTTTCTTTTTTTCGTGGTTTTTGACGAGACTTTTCTCATCAAAAATCTCGAGATTGTTTCCCAACCCGATATTAGGCGAGCACCCAGAACTCCTATTACAGTCATCATCAATCCTAGGTGAAGGTATTACAGCCAATTCATCATTCTGTGGGGTTATCGACCGACGTGTAGGTGAACACACTCTTCTTGAGAAGAGTTCTGGTGTTTTCGATGACTTCTCGCGCTCAGCACGTTGGCGGGGAGTCTCTCGTGGTGTTTTCCGCAGTGGTGTTTTCCAATAGAATGACGCGTTATAGCTGTCCAAGTATTGGTCTGTTAATAAAGAAACCAATCCACTTTGACATTGAGGAATAGTCACTTTCATCTCTTCGATCGTGTTGCACTTTTTTAACATTCGATAAGCAACGTGGTGCTTTGCTTTTAACTCAAGAAAGGCCATCTCGGCACGACTCCAAAGCTGAGCAACAGCCATTTGTTCTTGTTTAGTCTCTTTCAAATATTTCAAGAAGTCCAACGTGTTTTTCAGACACTCGGTTGTCTCGCTCAAATACTTAATGAAGTTGTCTTGGATGGGCTTGATACACACAATCGTTTCTTTGGTGAAGATGTCCGCACTTTGGATTTTGCCGTCCTTCACAATTTTGAAAAACTGGTCCAACCGCTTCTTGTCAACATCACTCAATTTGACTTCTTCAAAGTCTTTCACCGTGGCCATCGCCATCAGTTGTGGAGATGTGAAGCCTTTTTTAACAAAGATTTCAGTGAAGATGACGAGGTTGTACGGTATGAGATATTTAGCAACAACACTATATGTCTCGACTTCACACACAACATTACAATATGTTATTTGGGCCGAGAGATTGCGAGGGCTTTTCTCACTCCTTACTTTAATTGGCGTGAGGCGTCTGATTAACTTTTTGAAGTCGACGGAGGCTTGGAACTGCTCGAACACGCCGAGGGATAGTAACTTGTCTAAGACATCCTCTTGAGCGGCTTCATACAAATTTTGTGGGTAAGGTTCTTTGTACCTTTCAATGATTTGGGCTTGTGTTTCTTTACTAATGACAACTTGGTCTATACTTTCTTCTTGGATGAATTTTTCGAATATTTCCTTCCCAAGAATATCGAGTGTTGTTGTGTTCTTTGTAGTTGAAAAGACCGTGACGTCTCTGTAAAACTCGACTTGTTTTTCCATCCCGAACTGTGTTAAATATTTTGATAAATAGTGACAACCAACGCGACTGTCCATTATCGTTTTAAGCGAAGAAAGGACGGTCAAGGACTTTGGTATTGAAATGCCATCTTGAACTGCAAATACCATGAGGTGTTTGAAATTTGTTCCTTTCTCACTTAAAAGTTCCACCAAGAGTTGCATATACTACTTGTTAAGGTTTTGACTATGACGACTGTTGCTTCAATTATGAGCGAAAATGAACGTTGTGAAAAACACAAACGACAACAACACACGAGTCGATCCAGTCAAATCTTTGTTCGTTGAACGCCATCGTTTCCTCGTTATTCATTTTGGCAAATCTTTTGGTCAAGTCTTTTAAATGCGCGTCGAGGCACACCACCTCATTCTCTAAAAATGCAAGTGACTTGAATCCGAAGTCGTCATTTTGTTTGGTAAATTGGAGAACTTCATTTTGGATTATAGACGGAGAGTCTGCATAAAACGAATGGAGCTGTGAGTTGATGGCTTTGATGTTGTTTGTGACAACTTTCAAAGAGGTCACCAAATTTTTGAAATCAGTAACTAAGTTGATGGTAGTGCGTTTGTAAGCGTCAAAAGAGTGTTTGACGGGAACTGAAAGGATCGAAGATAGAACTGTGTCGAAAGGTTCCATCAGTTGTTGGAGTGTGTGGGTGTCTTTCTTTGTCATCGTAATTAATTTGAGTTTATTCTTCAGTTGTGATGGACTTTTCTATTTGGAATAGTTTTTTATAAACATTTTTTATTAAAATTAGTTGGTTTGTTTTTGTTGTATTTGGTTTAAAACTGGGGGTTAATCGTTTTTTATTGGTCTCATTTTTTATATAATAATTATATAAATACTTTTTATTATTATTATTTAATTTTTTTAATTATTAATTATGATTTATTTGATACATTTAGAATAGTAAAAACTTCGAATTTCCAAATTAGAAAATATAACAATTTTTTGGTTATTTTTTCATAAGTCATTTTTTTATTATTTTTCTTTTTTAAAAATACAAATTGTCATAATGATATTTAGAAATAGTTTATTTTACTATATTTAAAATGAAATATTTTAAATAACTGAAATAAAACTAATAATTATAATAAATTATAATAAATTATAATAAATTATAATAAATTATAATTAATTATACCACGACATTTCCAACATAATTGCACATAAACAAAATGTTTAAACAATAAACATATTGTTCTAATAAAAATAACCAATTGAATATAGTAAAAAAATCCAAATATATAGCAATTTTCATTAAACGACCATTTAAGTACCACTTCAGGATATTTTAGTCAAAGTTTGAGACAATAATTAAAGTTGAGAAATGCTTTTGAAAAAAATAAGACAAGACGAACTATGAAAATATTTATTACAAAGCATTGACATATGGATGAGTCTAATCTCAATGCACCCCAAGACGCTCGCAAATCGATTCTCGATCCTACCGCTTTAAACATACGAGTAGAAGATTATACCAATCCACTGAGTTTTAACACTCCAAAGCCACCATCTTCCCGTATGGGGAGTCAACACACCCAACGAATATTCACGACAAAAGGGAAAGTAGTTTTTGGGATGGAAGTGAAACGGGACAAGTTAGTGACCACATCGCCGAAGAGTGCGGGGTCCTGTGAGATGAGTCAAAACTCCTATTTACCGTGTAGTTCCTTTCTTCGAAGTCCAACCAATTCGAAGAGGTCGGCCACTCCCGTCTTGTCCAATCTCTTCTTCGAATACAAAAACAAACAATTCGACGCCGATTTGAAGAAGAAGAAACAAACGCAGCAGAGTGTAGAGATGTACAAACAACTCCAACAAGCTGGCGGACAGCAAGCGTGGAAGGAACAAGTCCGCAAAAGTCGCGAAGTCGAGATCATTTATGACGAGGAGAAAGAGGAGAAGTCCAAAGAGTTGAGAACAACACTCTTACAAAGTCCAGACAAACAGATCGAGTCATCGAAGCCAAACATGCGGCAAATCAAGGTCCAAATGTTCAAGAATTTAGAGGAGCAAAAAACCATCACATTCACCTCGAAAACTCCGATAAAACTGGTGTATACCCCCATAGCCCCTGAGAAGTGGATATTAGATGGCAAAGAGCCGACTCGCGAGTTCATTTCGACGAACTTTGAGTTGTATGGGGACATCGGCCTCTTTCTGACATATCGCGAGAAGTGGTATAAGACTAATATACTCAACGAGTTGCCGTATTACGCCAAAGTGAAGGAAGTGACAGTCTTGGCATGTACTTGGAATGTGAATCAGTGTGTCTATCCAAGAGAGAAGATCGATCGTTGGACGTCTGGGATCAAATATAGTCCGGACGTCATTCTAATAGGGATGCAGGAGCTTGAAATGAGTTTTGATGCGATTATCACGGGGTCACGATTTTAGTGAGAAGTCGGTGGAATACTCAAAACTGCTGTTGGCGTCTATCCATCGAACGAACACG